CCCCAAAACCCCAAAACCCCAAAACCCCACTTGAACTAATCAGATAGTTTATAGGATAAAGATATTGATTTTGAAAAGCAAATAATTAGCTAAATTAACAGTATAAAGACTAATAAATTTATATAACTTTGAAAATTTAGATCCGAGTTGCTGATGAATTGACAGAATGAGATTGAATCGAATTGTACCACTGATCTCGAATTCTTTTACAAGATTAATGATACTAGGGGTTATCCTCACTCTAAAAAAACAGACACCTCGAACTTTGTTACTTCTTTATCATCAATAGTTCCTCTTGGCTTTAAATATTTTGCGATCAGCAAATAGATCATCATCTGCGTCATTTGACTTATTATTACCAGTAACTTTCTTACCGAGTGCAAAGCTACCAGCACCTCCAGAATTATTATTTTAGCTAAAATTACTATTTCCACTGTTAAAAGGATTGCCGCCACTGTTGAAATTTCCACCTCCAGGAGTATTAGATGAAAATGGATTATTTGGCTTTTGATTTTAGTTATTGCTAATAAAGGGATTTGAACCTCCCGCTCCACTTCCACTACCACCTGCATTGAATGAACTTCTCTGAATGTTGTTATTATTGTTTGGATTAATATTAAAGTTATTACTTCCTCCTGAGTTTGAAGCGAATGGATTGCTACCATTGCTTGCGGACTAAAAATTTGTAGCATTATTAAAGGGTTAAGTAGTTGGCTTATTTGCTGCAAAAGGATTATTGCCATTTGAATTAGATTAAAATGAGTTTGATGGCTAATTACTTCCGCCTGATCCTTATTTATTTGCAAATGGATTAGTGTTAAAACTTGTTTAGAAATTATTCCCACTTCCACTTGAAGAATTATTATTCATGGTAAAATTGTTTGATGCTCCTGACTTGTTTTGATTAAATGGGTTGTTCATTCCTCCGGATGAAGATTAGAAATTAGCTCCTGAGCTAGTGTTGCTATTATTGTTCTAGACAAATGGATTATTCTATGCTGGAGTTGATGATTAGGTTTGGCTATTAAAATTATTCTAAGGAGTCTGTGAGTTATTTGCTGCAAATGGACTTTTGAATTGACTTTAAATAGCTGCACCTGTCGAATTATTGGTGTTAGAGCTAAATCCAGGGGTTGTTACTACAGCGGGGGTGGCTGATCCAGCTCCTGATAAGAAGGGATTAGATGCTGCTTTTGGCTGTAAAAATGGATTAGCTGTCGTAGTTGTAGTTGTTGTAGTATTCGTAGTATTGCTTGAAACTTAATTTTTAAGGAATGGATTACTAGATGTTGTTGAAATTACCGCTTGATTTTATCCTGATTCATTAGCCTTTACATTAGCTGATGCTTAATTACTCGTTACATTATTAGTGGATGGCACTACATTAATTTTGAACTAAAACTTTGGCTGAACATCCTGCTAATTTGTGTCAGTTGAAATATTTGGGGGTTTAGTTTGAGCATTTTCTTTGGGGCTTGAAGGATCATTAGATGAAATATTTTCACTCACAAAGGAATCTTGGTTTTTAATAGTGTTATCGGATTTGTCTCCGAAAGAAGGGGAACTCTCGTTTAAAGGCTTATGTTATATCTCTAGAGTTTTAACATTAGTGCTGCTTAAAGGTTTAAATTGAAAAGATGTAGTATTTTTGTTATCAGTGCTCACTGATTGCTAGGCTTTGATGTCTGCATTAAATTTTACAATGTCTTTTTTGCTGGGAGAATCGCTACAGAGCTCCTTCAGACTGTATGATCTATCAGACAATTTTTCATTTGAATTCATTTTACTGATTTACTGACTCACATCTTTGTTTTGAATTAATAACTCTTCAATATTCTTCTGACTTTGTTTGATCATCTCTTTAATCTGATCTAGATATTCAGGTGCACATAGGTTTTGCTAAGATGAATGCAATTCTTCTTTCATAGATTACTAAGATTGGAATTATGACTCTTTGACCTCTTGGATATCTTTCTTGTACTCAGATATAATCTTATTTTCAAACTACTTCAAGCATTCTTAGACAAAACTTTTCATTTCTTACTTCTACTAATCTGCTATCCTTTGTTAAATATCATAAATTTCAGATGGCTTTACTCCATCATTATATCCACTCTTCGCTTAATTAGTCAAGTACTTTTTATTCTTATCCTTTTCCTGTTCTTTCAATTTCTTATCTATAATTTGACTGAACGAACAATAAAGATCCTTAATAGCGATTTCCCTTTTCATATCATCTTAAATCTTTGAAATATTTTGATACTCTTTTTCAAATCTATTCATTTCTTTTTAATTCATAAATCTAGAAACCTTTTTGATTTATATGTCTTTGCTAGCTGCATCTTAATACTTAATAGTTTGGCTTTGCATTAAATGATCTCCGCTATCATCAAGCTTTGCTCTTTGCATTCTAGGGTTGTGGTAATTTGAAGGCATTTCTACTATTGATCCAGTTTCATTTGTTGTATTGTCGTATGATCTTTTGCGTCTCTAGGCAATTTAATTCTTTAATAAATTATCCGCCAAATAGTGATTCATGCTCTAAAGCTCAAAGTCATCGTATATTGTTCCTATAGGCCCATGAACGAAATTTAAAGGTGGTCTTGAGAGTTTCTTAACTTTAGGATTAAAGACAAGATAGTTCTAATCTCTAGGGATCTTCATTATTAGGTCCTATCTGTTATCTGAAGTAATTAACTTCTTTGGGACCTTTAGAGCAATGAGCTTAATACATTTAAGTGTATTTTTCTTGGTTGAGTTCATTATAATGGGACAATTTTTATATGCGTTAATGTTGTATTTGGACCACATTGAAAGTGTTTAACTATTTGAAGGTCCTTGAGAATTTATGCTACTTCCTAACATACTGCTTTAATTGTTTAAACTTTATTGGCTCATTTATTAAGTAAGCATCTAGACATCTTGCGGCTTTTTTTTATCACTCATTTACAATTAGCTCTTGGCTGATTATTGCGAACTCATGACTTGATTTTGGGTATGCTACTGCTGTTGATTGACCCTTGGATATTGATAATTTTGATTTACAGAATGGAAATTTGAATCTTAATTCTTGATTCTGGGCTGCAAATGTGACTAAATTATGGCTTTTTCATTGATATTATGATTGACTGCCTTATCACGTTTGCTTTAAACAACACTGTTACCTGACATTGGAGTTTACTAAAAGCTGAAGTTTCCTTTTTACCTATTATCTTTGTGTCTTTGATCCCACTATAAATCATATATCTCTAAATAAGAGTAAAATAAGTATATTAAGCTTACAATCATATTATTCTAGCTCTATCGCAGACAAATTGTCATCATCGTCTTAGGCGTCGGGATCTTGCAAATTAGATGCTCGAGCAAGTTTAAGAGTTTAACTCTCGCTTGGTATTTGTGATTGCTAGGACTAAGTTTGAGAACTTTTCTGAAACAAACCAAATACCGTAGACTTGATCATTTCATAGAATGAGGTTCCTTAGCGGGAATCCTGAGATGATGCATCTCTATTATTTTACTGTTTATTTTGGTTAGAAGTATTGAATGAACTCTGACTACACGAGTAAGGAGTGCGATTGAGTCTACCCAGTCTATGATTGTTATCGTGGAGGCGGACATTTGCAGGGTTAGCTCTTGACTCATTCTAGTAGTTTGGATTTCTCTCCAATTAATTGGCAATAAATCTTGAGCTTGGGTTGGACATCTTTTAAGTTTAAATTTGTAATTGAACAAATAAATATATTTGGCTGACTTATTAATTTTATTATACCTGAAACCCTGCTAAATTATTAACAGAATAAATATTGATATCAACTCTTATATTCTAAATTAAAAAAATACTAGAATGTCATTTGACTTTAATGCTATAACTTAGAATAATTTTACTCTTGCAGAGAGTGGTGATACAAAACAGAATGAGGCATATTTATTGTCAAGGCCTGTAATGTATTTAAATTTTTAATTCTCCATATTTATCTAATTATTTCAATGATAGACATCTGAATTGGTACTTTAATGCAATAAAACTGCGATGGAAAATTTGAGATTACTTAACTATAACATAGCCTTAGATCTATTGAAGCAGGCAGAATAATTGCTGCTCTCTGCTATTGTTCCTAAAGATATAGCAGATAATGAAAAACAAAAATTGCTAGCTTTATCTTATAATAACCTTGGATGTCTCTACAAAAAGTAAAAAATATATCCTTTATCGGACAATAAAATCTTAAACAGAGACTAATTTTATATTTTAGGAAAATGCAAGCTAATGTCGCCTTCAATTATTTGAAGAAGGCTCTTGATTTGGAAATCTAATCTAAACAAGACTCAATGAATGTAGCAGGGACAATGCTTAATATATGTGCTATTCTATCATAACTAAAGAAGTAAAAATTGCCTTGCATCAATTATTTAGGCACAAAAAGGCTATATTTTATGCATAGAGTTGCTTATAAAAATCTGAAAATGTGCTATAAAAGTTGAAGCAAATACCTGTTTAAGCTTAGGGTGATAGTGGATCTGATTAGTCAGATCAAATATAAAGGGATTCATATGTGAGAAATGTATACACAACTATGACAATCGCCCTCTATAATCTAGGAGTTGAGCATGAATATTTGAACGAGTACTCCTAGGCTATTGAGTATTTTAATCGAGCCCAGTATATCACTCAAGAAATTCTAGATAGAGATCCATAAATGACAAAGGTCATAAGTGAGGGTCTGAATAGTGTACTTTTGAAATAATAGAAAAAGATGATATCAAACAACTAATATGGAAATAAATAAGGAAGTAACTCTCCAGTTAGATTAATGATAGATATGAATTCAAGTAGATTTGCTCCAATTGATAGTAAAAGATCTACTACACAGCTTGAAACTACCTACAAATTTATGAACAGGCGAGATAACATTACAAATTCATCCATCAGCAGTGGCACTTCTCGACTAAATTAATCAATTAGAGAATAAGTAAATTAAGCATATGGTGGATAGACTTTAAAGCAAAGTACCCTTAATGGCAATTTTCAATAAATGCCTAGCATAAATAAAATAGCATAGAATCAGACTAAGTTGTAATTCGAGTAGCAATAAAGGAAAGCGATTTCAAATCTAAGGAATCTTCCTTCACAAAATACTTAGTCTCCATTGAAATCCACTCATTATGGGCTTGAAGAGAATAGAAATAATAATAGAAGAGGAGGTGGGGGCAGTAATGTCAGTAATGCTATAAATAAGATTCAAAGAGAGAGAAATCTCAATCTTCTTTAAAAGATAAATCAAGACTTTAGCTTACCCAACATCCAGCACAACAACGAGAAGAAAAATAGTATGAATCATAGCTATTTAACAGCTTTGCTAAATTAAGAGTCTGAGGTGCAATCGATGGCATCTTAGAATGAATTTATGGCATCAAGCTAAAATAGTAATTATCAATCCTTTGGTAAAACTTCAAATATGATCCAAGCTCAAAACCCTTAAAATTAAAAGTTTGTAGCTAATAGCGGTAATGCAAAGTACAATCAATTTTCAAGATAACTCAATAAAATTTCTCCTTTAAGGTCACATCAATAAATTGCTCCAATATAGAATAAGCCCTAGGGCAATTTCTTTGCCCAAAAAAAATATGAGTCCCAGGAGTTTCATCCTGAAAAAACTAGTGTTACTTTTGGGGTTTAGGATAACGACAGCAAGTCCTAATCAAAGCCAAACTCTGTTTAGTAGTATGATAGGTTTACTATGTAGTAAAACAATATTTATTTTCAGAGTAAAAATCCTTCTGTCAATTTTTACAACTAATCAGAACCTGAGGAGCATAAGATGCAATTAGCGATTAAAAATATTAATGTAAAGTTGGGTGACCTATAGGCTAAACTACAGTCGTATAAGGCGACAAATGACATGATACTAGAAGTAGACAATGAAGTCTCTTTTAGAAATAACTCCACTTCAAGGAGCATAATTATTAATAAAAAGCTAAGTTTAACTTTGAATAATAATGAGAGGATATTAGTTGAAAAGACTAATAATAATGATACAACTGATGAATAATAATCAGTTAACTTTGATCAACTAAGTTATGTAAGTAGTGAGGCCTAACTATGAAATTCATATCAACTAATAATAGTCGTGAAAATATGATTAATTCCATTTAAATAATTACATCTCATTACTTAATTTTTCAGCTTTAAGGGGTTTTGGGGTTTTGGGGTTGAAAGTGATTCAATAACTTTATTCCTAAT